TTAATCAGTAAAAGTTGCTCACAAGAAATGATACGAGCTTTGAAAATATCTCTGTGCCCAAATAATGTAATACGTATCATCACGTTGAAAAGACAAACGATGAGTAAACAATACAGTGGCAAACTTTCTCTTGCAATGTTCAAGTAACCTTCCTGTGCTGTAAAAGAAGGAGTGATGTGTCATATTATTCTGATAGGTCATTACATCACGCCTCACACAAAAGCAGAATTGCAGTTGTTTTCTGACTCTAGTGGCGGGTGGTTGGCGAGTGCTTTGGTGTGGTTTGCTCCTTCTTTCCTGGCATACATCGTCCTGATCTATCCTTCTTTTTTGTGTTTGTTACTCTTGTAACATCTCTAATCTTCGGCGTGGGTGGTTGGCGGGTGCTCTGGTGTGGTTTGCTCCTTCTTTCCTATCACACATCTATCGTCCTGATCTCTCCTCCTTTCTTATGTTAGTTACTCTCTTGTAACACCTCTAATCTTCGGCATTCATATGACCGTATGCAGTTGCGAGCGCCATAAAACCTCTACTGAAACTAAAACTAATCTTCGGCACTCATGTGACCTAATTGTGTAGCAAGTGCCGAAAACTCTTACTAAAACTAAAAGTCCTCACTCTAGTGGAACTTGCATTGATTTCTGGAAGCTGTGCGAGTGGTTAGAGGGTGCCACTATCAAGTCCTGCTTTTGCACTTTTCCTCTGTTGTTTCTGTCCGTCTTACTTTTTCTAGCTCTAAAATATGACCTTATTAAATTGTGCCTTCTCTCTTTATTCAAACAAACAACAAACAAAACAAGCTGGGTACTGTTTAGATTTATATTTATACGTGTATTTACAAAACGATTCTCTTTGAAATTTCTCGATAAAAACAAACAAACGGAAACTGCTTCTTCCGAAGCATGAAAAACGTCGTATTGTGAAGACAATCACAACGATGCATTGATAAGACTACTTCAATTTTCTGATGTGATATCGAGCTATAAGCTCTTATTGTCGGTTCCTCTGGTGTTACTGTTACGCTCTTCGCTTTTGCATAATCTAGAGAATTCTGAATACATGTTTTTGAGTCGTGGGGGATTTCGTTTTTAAAAATCCTATTATACTGATGTAAAGGACTTTGAACGTACCCCTCCCCTACCCATCTTCCCCTAAAAACTGCTCAGATCAAAGTGACAGTAGAATATTGGAGTATTGATGGCAAACATTAAGAGAATGCACTGTTCGTCTTCATCTAATTCATCCTGAGGCCTTGACAATTTGTAAAATTAACGCGTCATCAATTTGAAATGAAGCATGTCGGCCCGATGTGCGTCAAATTTGACAATATTCTAACAAAAAAATGACTGTTCGACCTCACGGTAAGTATAATAGGCCTACACGGGCTTTAAAAAAGGAGAGAATGGAAGGCAAAGTCAAGCTCCCTATATTATAGTGATCTAAGATAAGATAAGATAATAATAATATACATCTTTATTGTCCAGATCCTGGCACATTGGTTTGGTGTTTCACTACGTACACGCTTGCATATTATACACACACACACACACACACACACACACACACACACACACACACACATACACACACACACACATACACACACACACACACTCACGTACATTTGGATTTAGGAGCAGCTTTGTCATTCAGTAGTATGAAACGAGTACAAAAAGCGTGTAATTAGCAACCTATAAATGGGTGCTCCTGTGAATCTTCCCTTTCCTACACTTTTTCTTTCCCACAGTGCCGGAGCTCAGCTGTTGTTGTGTAGGTAAAGGTAACGGCGGTGTTCGCATCTCATTCAATAGGTCCCAGGTTCGAAACCCGACAGCGACGGTAAATTTTCTTCTCTAAAATGTTTCTCCTTTCATCTCCTTCCCTCCTGTCAAACCATGTAGTGTGGTCTGCTTTCGTCTCCACTTTCTGCTCTCCCCCCACCCTGCCCCCTCCTCTACTGCTACTCCTTAGCTCCTAATTCTTATTGCTGTCTTTCAGCTTAACCCCTGATCTTAGGATAGGAAAGATCTAACACATGCCTTCTCGTGAAAGGGCGTAAAATCTCGGAAGTCCTGAGTACAAGTTGCGCAGGTTAAAGATTCCTTTGGTGGTCCAATATCGATAAGAGTAGGCTTTGGCCGCCACGTACCCGAGCAAAATTCAAAATTAATTCCTAACAAACTGAAAATATTGTGTCCCGCGCGCTACTATGAAACACTTTCCGAAAAAAAAAGTGCCGGATTTGAATCAGACGTCGGCGATCAGCTCTAGTTCACCATGCATTTCTCCGCAAGGAATTAATAAGCTGCATCTGTTCGGTTTTCCAGTAGAATAGGTCTTGTTCTACCCCTGCCTCGTTAGCCTTCCATCCTTTCCACCAGTTAGAGCAAGATATTCAAGGCCTCAGGCCTTTCGGAAACTGCGCTGTTTGCCTCTGGTCCATAATGAAATTCTTGAGGCTTCTCTATATAATTATTTCAACTGTCTTTTTTTTTG